TCAGTTAATCTCTTTACTTCATTCTGTTCTGAATCACTATTACGTACTTCCTATCAGTGAGTGCCACAAATCCTTCAGGATTAAAATGACATCAGTTAGAATCCCTTCATGACTGTGATTCTGTGGCCAGTTTTAATGTCATGCTATCCTATGTTAACCAAAAACTGAACCCATAAAATAATTCTGGTTGTATATAATTCAACTTTTATATTTGAATTTTATTTGGAAGAAAATGACTTATCAAGTAGCTTGCAACTTTCAAGTAGAATTACTACTGAGAGTAGTAATTTGGTTACATTTATTGTAAAACAGGATCTTTTTAATATTGGGATTTAATACATATACCATCTCTTTTTTATAGCAAAATAATGACAGTTATATATCTCTACCCATAAGTCTCTAGCATTACACATCTAAGCACAATTAACTTTTAAAGGTCTTTTAAAGTAATTATTTCCCTTACCTATTAGTTGATGATTTCAAGCGTTTGGGGAGTTGTTTGTTTCTTATATTTTTCAAAGGCAGTTAAGGCTAGGTGTTAAAATGTAAACAGTAGTGAAAAGAGATATAATTAATATATTTGCTTTATAATGAAATGCATAACGAAAGCAACATGTTTTGCCTACTACACCATGTCACTTTGAATTAAAATTTTCTGGATAGCAAATAAAAACAACAGTGAGTGTTTTAATCAATAATTCAGTTTTTATTCTAAACTAAAGCTTTCCTTTCCATAGCTGGTTAAGAGTTCAGCTTCCAGCTGAAAGTGTGGTGCTTCAAACTCTTCAGCCACTTTGAGCGGGAAAGACATGGCTATCTTTCCTTCAAGATTACTGTCTTGGAAACCTTGTGTGGCAATTCGACTCTGTTTTAGTGGATCACTATGATAATAAAGGAGTCTGTCAGTGGTTACTTGTTGGGCACTCATCTGAAAGTGCCCCATATGATATACCACCAGCTGCTTCTCCGGGGAAGAAGAGGTTTTCCACTCCTATAAAGAGTTACAGCCCGGAAACTCACAGGGCATTTCTTTGCTGCCTATCGGGTTACTGTGAATCAGCATGGACTCGATGGCGGTGAGGTGATGGCAATGGTTTCAGTTAAGATTAGCTGCTGGTGGGAGGTAGTTGGGTACTCTTTTGCTGAATATCTCTTTATTCAGGAGTTGCTGTATTTACTCTGACAGGATTGAAGCTGGGGAAAGAAGAGAACTGAGGTAGAGAGGCCAACAATGACCTGACCTCCATTGTTGAATGGCCTCATTCTTTTAAGGCTTTCTCCTGTGGGTGCTTCGGGGCCTTCACTGGGAGCTAGACCACCTGTGACTTTCCACACGTTTTTTCCTTTTTCTTCCAGCTAGTGCCTTTAACCCTCTAGGTCCTCAGTCTGGTGCTCTCTTCGGTCATTCAGCGTTGGATCTTTTTCCCTTTCATCTGTTTGGTATTTTTATCACCCCTCAGGTGATATGCTGGGTAGGATTTTTTTAGCTGCCTTTAACCTATTATCCACACCTCCCAAATTCCCCCTTTTAAAGTGTTCAACCAATGGTTTTTAGTGTTTGGACAGAGCTGGATGCCCACCACCATTATCTAAATTTTACAACAATTTTATCAGGATTTAAAATATTTAAAATATTTCCAGCTGGCTCTTTGTGTGGTTCTGCTCCCTTATCTCTCTCCCCCACCACCCCACCACCACCTCCGCCCTGCTAGCGAGCTCCAGGTGCCCTATCCTTCCTCACTGTGAAGTTTTCTCCTCTGTGCCCTTCCCCCTCTTCCTCACATGGACCACTGCTTCAGAATGCTGGCCTTTCATTTACAGAAGGTCCTCTTTGAAGCCTCTGGTACTGGGGAGGGAGGCATTAGAACCACACAACTGAGAAGAAACGTTCTGCACGAAACTTCTTTCTGCTTGTCATACACTGGATGTGAGCTTTAGAGCCACCTAACCAGTTCTCACCCAGCAACTTAGGCAATTTGCTGCAGGGGATTCTTGCTCATAAGTCAATTCTGTATCTCATTATTAATAGTTACTTGATGCCTCTGTTGAAACTTCCAATTTAATGCAGTGCGGCTTAGATAGCTCTTAGAAAGTATTTATATTTCTATTCCCCACCTTCATTAAGCATGCTATCCTATAATAAAGCATACTAGAACCCAGAGGTTTAGAAGAGGGAGTCTTTCCCAAACAATACCTCATATCTTCTCTCTTAACTACCACCTTATTCCTTTAAGTAGAGATCCCTCATAGGCAGCCTAGTAAACATTTGGGGAAAAAAGTAAAAGAGGAATGGTTGCTTTGTTTGCAGCTGGAATTACTTTTTAAAAGCTAGGTTAAAGTGTAATAAATGTAAATTAAAAGAAAACATTAGCTTTTCCTGTTAGTTAAATAAGCAAAGTCGGGGGAAGTGGGGAGGGAGGGGAAAAAATGAGAAGCTGATACCAAGGGTTCAAGTACAAAGCAAATGTTTTGAGAATGATGATGGAAACAGATGTACAAATGTGCTTGACACAATGGATGTATGTATGGATTGGGATGAGTTGTATGAGCCCCCAGTAAAATGATTAAATAAATAAACAAAGTCAACTTCTGGCTGAAATAGATTTTTTTAATCGGTTAATTTTTTAATTTAATGAAGGCCATAATTACAGAAAACAAGTAACATTTTCAGACCCCTTTTGTGTTCTGAAGCCATCTGCTTTTGCTTACCGGTCAAATAGATAGATGCAGTACACATTCTGCTCAAATTGGTTTGATCTGGGTAGAAATCTTGGGTAATCACTATATAAAGAGGAGCCCCCCATTCCCCTGAAGAAGTGTTAATTCAGGGAAATGAGTATAGGGGGATCTTGACCAGCTGAACTTGCCATTTCTATAATGAATATAAGACTATTGTGCTCCATAAGGGGAACAATAACAAATAAAAATGTATCACTTTACCACCTATGATTTAGATGCCAGTAAACAAGTTTACTGTACAGAAGTGTCACTGCAAAGACAATTTTGTTGGTTCATGTAACGCCATACAGAATGTACCCATAAGCATACCGTCTATACTCGAGTATAAGCCGATTTTTTCCAGCACATTTTTAATGCAGTTTTTGTGGTAAAATTAGGTGGCTCAGCGGATATTCGGGTCAGTTTATAATGGAGTATATACAGTAATCTTTTTTTTTTTTTTTTACTGTCACAAACACACTACTGGACAGTGGTTTCCATCTCATCAGGACCCTATGCAGGGTTTCTGAGACTGTAACTCTTTACAGATAGCCTCATCTTTTCTCCTCAGAGCAATTGGTGGATTTGAACTCTCAGTGGTTAACCGTTCAAGAATAGTTAAGCCCATTTAGTAAAGAGTTGCAGTCTTGTTAGTATTAAGGTAACAGAAGGACATTGGGCCTCCACTCAAGTACTCCCTCAAAGCAAGAATACTTTCTTCTATTAAATTGGCATTCTATGATGCTCACCTTCCCAACACAACCGCTGAAGACAAAGCGGGTGAATAAACAAATGTGGTGA